CTAAATCTTTCCCTTTTATTTTGCCTATCTTTTGTTAAAAAATAAAACTATATCTCAAGAGCAAATATGAAAATTTGTCACTTCAACTTTCAGCTTTAAAAAATTCACAGAATTTTCTGGGTTGTTTTGGAAATATTAAATTGGTTATAGATTTCATATTTTATTAGGATTACATCTTATTTTTGAATATTCCCTTCTATAATCCTTTAAAATAGATCCTATATAAAAATCATTTCCCTCTATCTTTGTATTGTAAAATATGAAGAAATCAAAATAAAGCCACATGCAATAATATTGTCAGTGTGCAAATTATTTAAACAAACAAATATTTTAATTAATTTCAGTTCAGTTCAGTTGCTCAGTCGTGTCTGATTCTTTGTGATCCCATGAACCGCAGCATGCCAGACCTCCCTGTCCATCACCAACACCCAACGTTTACTCAAACTCATGTTCATTTAGTGGGTGATGCCATCTTTTCCAATGAGTCAGTTCTTCGCATCAGTTGCCCAAAGTATTTGAATTTCAGCTTCAATATCAGTCCTTCCAATGACTATTCAGGACTGATTTCCTTTAGGATGGACTGGTTGGATCTTCTTGCTGTCCAAAGGACTCACAATAGTCTTCTCCAACAGCACAGTTCAAAAGCATCAATTCTTCAGTGCTCAGCTTTCTTTATAGTCCAGCTCTCATATCCATACATGACTACTGGTAAAACCATAGCTTTCACTAGATGGACCTTTGTTAGCCAAGTAATGTCTCTGCTCTTTATTATGCTGTCTAGGTTGGTCATAACTTTTCTTCCAAGTGCAAGCGTCTTTTAATTTCATGGTTGCAATCTCCATCTGCAGTGATTTTTGGAGCCCATGAAGTGATGAGACCTGATGCCATGATCTTAGTTTTCTGAAAGCTGAGTTTTAAGTTAACTTTTTATCTCTCCTCTTCACTTTCATAAAGAGGCTCTTTAGTCCTTAAATTTTAATTAATGTAATAAAGATCAAAAATAAAACTTTAAAATCACTTTATTTAGGAATATTTTAAATTCTAATTTCTATTATGTTGTTGGTTACACAGACTTTTACTATTTTGTCACTTAAAGTTACAGCTTTCATTCTTGACACATACAATCTATTATAATTTAGTAGTTTATCAATTATCCCAAATTTAAAGAGTTTTAAAGGGGCTATTTACTTACCAATAATTTAACATTATCAATATAATTACAAATTGCTTTGGTCTTTAAGAATTCTTGACACTTCAAACTGCCTATTTGATTACCTTCCCTTCCCCCCTCAAAAAAAAAAAAAAATCATTAGTATGCTTATTATGGTAAGAAACTTTCTCTCTTTTTTTTGGGGGGGGGTCTAAATATGAANTTTCTCTCTCTCTCTCTTTTTTTTTTTTTTTTTTGGTCTAAATATGAACTCTTGTTATCATTATTTTTGAGGAATATTTTGGGGAGAAAAAGAATTTATGGTTGCCAGATATGACCCTCTGGCTCTTGGGAATTATCTTCCCTTAGGGAGGGATTTTATTCTTCCTGATTAAATAGTCAGCTTTTAAAATTGTCCTTTAGAAAGTTTTGAGTATTCTTTTTATATTCTACATGCTAATCCTTCATTGGATAAATGGTTTGCAAATACATTTTTTCACTCTCTGATTTTACTTCTCATCCTCTTAACGGTCTTTCAGAAAACAGAAATGCTTAATTTTGATCAAGTCAAATTTACTGACTTTTCAATTATGCTTTTGATGTCATCTTAAGACCTCTGCCTGGCATTACCTTCATTTTTTTCTTAACAGTATAATGTCTCTTTTCTCTTGATATTTTAATTTTAACTTTATTTTTGAAATTTCATTTCAATTTATCTAGGTAAAGTTATTTTTATAAATAATTGCTCAGTTTTTTTTGTTTTTCTCTGTTTCTTGAATTCTTGACTTGGATGTTTGTCAACAGTATGGAAAGTTTTACAGTCATGATCACCTCAAAAATTACTTCTGCCCAGTTTTCTTTTTTAATGTCCTTCTGAGAATTGATTAATTTGTATGTTAGGTCTGCATGTTCTATATTTATCTTATTCGTATTTATACTTTCTACCTTCTTGTCTTTCCATTCTTTAACATGAATGTTTTAATCTAATCTAATTTGCAGTTCTCTATTTGTACTATTTTCTCATCAGCTATGTCTAATCTGATGCTATTAACAAAACTGAAATCCCATATTAAATGACTTTTTTAAAATCTAAATTTTCTATTTGAATGTTTATCATTTTCCTCTTCAATTGTATTTGTATAATATATGCTAATAAAATAATTTTAGGATGTGTGAATTCATATCTAGCACTATTGAAGTGTGATTTGGTAAGTAAATCATTTTATATATGTATCACAAAACTCTGTTTTTTTCTTTCACATGGTGAAGTGGGAAAAAAAAAAAATAAGCACCAGAAGTGATAATCTTAATATATTGCTAAGAGTAAAACAGATAAGCACTTAATACCTAAAAATAATATAATTTTTAGTCATTTTGTTCTCACTCATATTTTCTAACTTTCCTGTAAGAAATAGACATGAGAAAACTTTATGTAAGCTCTATATAGAGTCTTGCATTTATATGTATGTAAATATCTCCCCTGGAGATACTAAAAACATATAAGCAATGATTATTTTAACAAGCCATACCTGATTGTCCTCATACACAAATACACAAGCCAATGTTTCTCACAACCATAATTGTATCACAAGTTTCAAAATGACTTAAAATAATTTTGTATGATATATTTATTCTGGTTTACCAAAGACAGTAGCTATCTGACTGAACTAGACCTAGACCATTTTCACTTCTCTTGATTCATGTGACAGACAGACTTCAAGGTGTCCATCATGGAATCCATGCCTCCTTGTGATCCCTTTTCTTGAATTCTAGGTGTGTCTTGTTTCTTGCTTTTGACCAACAGAATATGGAAATAGGATATATCACACTGGTAACACTACATTACATTATATGAAACTGTTAGACTCTTCAGAAAGACTCTCTACTTATTTGAAGTGGCCATATTGGGAAAGCCTATATGACAAAAAAAAAAAAAAGAGAGAGAGAGACACAAAAGGAACAATAAACAAACAAAATCAACTGTGGAGGCATCTCAGAACTCTGGGGAACACTGAAACTCTCAGGTCTGCAGCTGAGAGTAACTGAACATTACCAACGTGAACATGGAAGAGTTCTCCCAGCCTCAGGGAAGAACACAACTTGATTCCATCTTGTGATACTCCCACAGAGACTGAGCTAAGCTGTGAGCAGAATTCTGACCTGCAGAAACTATGGGATGCTAAATAGGTGTTTGAAGTTGCTAAATTTGTGTAATTTGTTACACAGCAGAGAAGACAGAGTCACATCCCCTTCCCATAGCTCACTTGCTTTATGGGGATCAACAACACTGGTCTCCCTATGGAATCACCATGCTCCTTTAACTGGCTGCCACACTACATCCAGATTCAAGTTCCATGTTCCAGTTCTTCTGTCCTTCCTTCATTCTCCCTACCTCCTCAAAACATATACATTCTTCATGTTGAAACCTAATCACCTTCTAGTATCAGTATTACTCAGTGGCCACTGTAAGCTGCTCCCACATTCCCTCCAAAATAGACCAGGCCATTTTCTTCTCCCCACTCGAGTTTATAAGCTTCATCAGGGCAGGAAAGTTCACTGTTTCCTCCTCACTTAATACAGGGCTGTATGCAAATCATTCAGTATAATTTTATTGGCATAAAAAATACATGCATGAAGGAGTTCACTTGTTGAATTACATTTGTGATCCAGAGAACATTTATTTTCTGTGGTTCTCAAAAAATCTATTTGGTACTTAAAGCTTTATAAAATTTTTTGTACTAAGCACAAAAATAACACTGAGGGATTTTTGAGGATTATACCTAAGAATAATAGAAAAAGAGCTGCTTACTTTTCACCCATTCAAATTATTAGGAAGGAAACAATTAACTTACCTGACCAGGCTTAGAATTTTCACAGACAACAATATCATATTCCCTGGCAAGCTCAGGTGGATTGTCATTGACATCCAGAACTCTAATACCCACTGTGACATGGCTCAGCAAGCTCGGATTGTCTGCAAAATACATAGGGATGCATTCAGTATTTTCATGCACACTTTAAGAGACTTAGTTTAAAACCAATCTTCTTAATACTGTAGCTTGTCACTAGCCCACATGCTGCCGCAGGACTTTTGGCAAAAGACAACTTTATGAAGGCACTCTTTGTTAGAACTCATTAACTTACAGAAAAATGAAAAATGAACACCATGGCATGACATGAATGCTAAAATGATACTTTGTCATATCAAGGAAATTACATGTTATTCAGGAACTGGAGTGGGAGAAAGTTGTCAGAACTCACTGTATGCTGTCAAAGTCCAAGGGATGAACAATTGGTTTTATCATTAATCTAAGAAAAGCACAGTAGTTGGAAAAAAATAAGATAATTTTAAAATGTTCAAGGTTTCAAGTCTAAATCAACTTGGAGATAATAAAGTTCTTTACACAAGGATAAAATTCTTACAGGACAATCTATGCAGTCTGTGGTGTCAAATCATGCTTGGGGAAAAATAAAGAATAATTTAAATTAGAATTTAGCATAGAATTCATATAAAACCCTGATAAATATCAAAATATTAGAGCTACTATTTTAAAATATTTCTAAAGTGCAGTCTTACCATTTTTCAGTAAGTTTATTAGTTATGAGATATAACAAAAGAAATGTTTAGTTTATTTTATATGTCAAAGCTAAAAATATAGAATTCATAATGGAAAAATAATGAGAAGGCAAAAACAAAACATAATAGGAAAAAAGAATCAAAATACATATACAGAAAATATTAAAGAAAATGAATATTTAAGTGATCCATTATTTATTACACATGACATAGGTGCTTTTAAAAGAGTAGGAAATCAGAATGCTCCTACAATAACTAAAGAAGATAAATTTTTAGGTTAAAAATATTTTTCAAAGATAAAAAATCAGTCCTAGATAATTTAACTTAAAGAAAAAGATATCTTCAATCTTATAAATCTATTCTCGAGAAGAGAAAGGATGAAATACACTACAACTTGTTCTCTGTGGCCAGTAAAGTTTTACTGTCAGTATCAGATACTCCCACTCATGAGAGGTATTATCTGTCAGTGAATTAAACAATATAATACCAAACCCATTCCATTGGTATGTAAAAGAAAACTATTACTTGTTTAGTTCCAGAAATGTTTTTTAGTTCATCATTAAAGGAACAAAACAAAAAAAGAAGGAGAGAGGGAGAGAAGAAATTAGAGAATTTTTTTTTAAATATAAAAGTTACCTAAAAAGTCAAAGCATTAAAGGAGGAAGAAAAAATACAGAGATACTTCTCTTAGCATACATAGCAAAAAGTAAGATATAAAATGTAATATCCTTACATTCTAAACAAGCAAACAAACAAAAAATGGACCTTAGGATGCATCACTATGAACAAAGCTAGTGGAGGTGATGGAATTTCAGCTTAGCCTGTTCCAAAACCTAAATGATGTTGCTGTCAAAGTGCTGCACTCAATATGCCAGCAAATTTGGAAAACTCATCAGTGGCCACAGGACTGGAAAAAGTCAGTTTTCATCCCAATTCCAAAGAAGGAAATGCCAAAGAATGTTCAAACTACAGCAAAATAGCACTCATTTCACATGCTTAGTGAAGTAACGTTCAAAATTTTCTAATCTAGGCTTTGACTATATGTGAACTGAGAACTTCCAGATATACAAGCTGGATTCAGAAAAGGCAGAGGTCCAAATGTCAAATTGCCAACATCCACTGGATCATAGAAAAAGCAAGAGATTTCCAGAAAAAAACAAAACAAAACAAAACAATTACTTCTGTTTTATTGACTGCTAAAGCCTTTGACTGTGTAGATCACAGCAAATTATGGAAAATTTTTAAACAGACGGGAATATCAGACCACCTTATCTGCCTCCTGAGAAACCTGTATTCAGGTCAAGAAGCAACAGTTAGAATGGACATAGCCATAAAATTAAAAGACACTTGCTTCTTGGAAGAAAAGAAGTGACACACCTAGGCAGCATACTAAAAAGCAGAGACATCATTTCGCCTACAAAGGTCCATATAGTCAAAGTTATGGTTTTCCCGGAAGTCATGTCAGATGTGAGAGCTGGACAATAAAAAGACTGAACGCCGAAGAATTGATACCTTCAAAATGTGGTGCTGGAGAAGACTCTTGAGAGTCCCTTGGACTGCAAGGTGATCCAACCAGTAAATCCTAAAGGAAATCAGCCTTGAATATTCATTGGAAGGACTGATGCTGAAGATGAAGTGCCAATATTTTGGTCACCTGATGAGAACTGACTCATTGGAAAAGAGCCTGATGCTGGGAAAGATTGACGGCAGGAGGAGAAGTGGATGACAGAGGATGAGATTGTTGGATGGCATCACTGACTCAATGAACATGAATTTGAGCAGACTCAGGGATATGGTGAAGGACAGGGAAGCTTGGTGTGCCACAGTCCATGGGGTTGCAAAGATTTGGACATGACTAAGTGACTATACAACAACTATGGATCAAACACCCTAGGATCAAACCTGTATCTCCTGCACTGGCATGCAGGTTCTTTACCATGGAGCCACCAAGGAAACCTAAATATACAGAAAAAAGTTATAAAATATTAAAATTAATATAGTGTATGAATAGCTTAATATAATGACCAATAGAATTGGCACTTATGATATTTTGTCAATGTACAATAAAAGATAATGGGGTGCTGATGTATCATATTAGTCAACTTCATATTATAAAGACAATTAGATCTATGAAATTAAAGTTAGCTCAATGTTGATTAAAATATTTGCTTATTTAGAGTGACATTATGAAAAAGGGGCTTCCCAAGTGGCGTAGTGATGAAGAATCCACCTGCCAATGCAGGAGACACAGGAGATGCGTGTCTGATCCCTGGACTGGGAAGATATCCTGGAGTAGGAAATTGCAACCCACTCCAGTATTCTTGCCTGGAGAATCACATGGACTGAGGAGCCTGGAGGGCTACAGTCCACGGGGCCAAAAAAGAGTTGGATACAACTTACTGACTAAACAACAACAAAGCTAGAAGACTGTATATTTAACTCAATATCAACAAAGAAGATATTGCAAAGCATATTAATAAATATATTTTATCATATCACTGTACTCAAGAATTAATGTCATTAAGGTTATCCTCAACAATATACTACTTCATTTTGCAATAAATTATTTAGTTTTGCATGTGTTTTTTTTTTTTCTTTACAAAATACTACAATTTTAAATGCAGTCTTCTGAGATATTTCTGAAAAATATATTTCAATCAGCATTTGGTTTCTAAGATTTTAACTATTGCTGTAGCTCTGCTGCTATTCATCCTAAAGGAAATCAATGCTGAATATTCATTGGAAGTACTGATGCTGAAGCTGAAACTCCAATAATTTGGCTACTTGATGTGAAGCACTGACTCATTTGAAAAGACCCTGACGCTGGGAAAAATTGAAGGCGGGAGGACAAGGGGAGGACAGAGGATGAGATGGTTGGATGGCATCACCGATTCAATGGGCATGAGTTTTGAGTAAACTCTGGGAGTTGGTGATGGACAGGGAGGCCTGGCATGCTGAAGTCCAGAGGGTCGCAAAGATTTGGACATGACTGACTGACTGAACTGAACTGATGATATAAACTAGTCACAGTTATTTCATCTATTCAGCCTTTGTTGGAAAGAGACACAACTGAGCAACTAACATGGTAACACATTATGAAAAAACGGCATTGCTAAGCTTTTGTGGAAGCTGATATTGATCATGCTTGATCTTTTTATAATTTTAAAAATAGAAAAGAATATTCAGTATGAATTCTCATTTTGTAAATTACCAAAGTGAAACTGACACATTTTAAATGGTTTATCTTGGCAAAGTCAGGGTTATGAATTACTTCTCAGACATTATATATATGTGCTAGTATATTCCTATATTTCTCAACCAGGTATTTGTTCACTTTTAAGAGCGGACAAAAGAAATCTGTTCTAGAAATCTGAGACAATAATAATATCATTAGTTTTAATCATTGGTATCAGCAGTGTCAAAATGCATCAAAATTCTCTGCTCCTTTTCTGAATGAGAAGAACTAGATGTTATCTTGCTGTATCAGAAAAATGTTTTCAGGAAAGACATGTATCCCAATGTTCAATGCAGCATTATTTACAATAGCTAGTACATGAAAGCAACCTAGATGTCCATCAACAGATGAATGGATAAAGAAGCTGTGGTACATATGCACAATGGAATACTACTCAGTCATAAAAAGGAATGCATATGAATTTGTTCTAATGAGGTTGATGAAACTAGAGCCCATTATACAGAGTGAAGTATGTCAGTAAGAGAAATACAAATATTGTACACACACACACACACATATATGGAATCTGAGAGATGGCACTGATGAATTTATTTTCAGGGCATCAATGTAGAAAGAGACATAGAGAACAGACCTATGGACAAGGTGGGAAGAGAGGAGGGAGAAGGGGAGATGTATGGAGACCGTAACACAGAAATTTGTAACACCATGTGTAACGCAGACAGCCAATGGGAACTTCCTGTATGGCTCAGAGAACTCAGTCAGGGCTGCAGCAGGCTGAAGGGTGGGGTGGGGGGCAGATGGGGGGGAGGTTTGGGAGGGAAGGGGCAAGGCTGTATGTATGGCTGATTCTTGATATGTGACAGAAAACCACAAAATTCTGTGAAGTAATTATCCTTCAATTAAAAAAAATTTGAAAAGTTTTTAGGAAAGGATTCTGGGAAGACTATGTCTTGAGGAAAGACTAGAATAAAAGAATGACTAAGCATTTGACTGTTTTCAAATATCACCTTCTCACTGCCCTACCTCTGTCCTCTGGAATTGGCATAGCCTTGCCCATACTCCATACTCAAAAATGCATCAAAATTCTCTGCTCCTTTTCTGAATGAGAAGAACTAGATGTTATCTTGCTGTATCAGAAAAATGTTTTCAGGAAAGACATGTATCCCAATGTTCAATGCAGCATTATTTACAATAGCTAGTA